TCATCGACAGAAAGTTACTCGAGGTCGGTATAGCCAGATCAATCTAATCAACATTTTCAATTTAATATTTAATGCATTAATGATTTTACAATTCTAGATATTATAAAACAGTTTTGGTATCGTAATAATTTTCTCAACTTTAAAATTTTTCTACAACATTATTTGATATATCAGACTTAGAAATAATCAACGTTAAATGCTGTCCTCATTTTCATCAGATTTTAGTTGCACATTGAAAAAAAGCTTAGCTAAGTATAGCATAGCATTTTTAATTGGTTGTAGCAGCCAATCTTTTCTTTCAGTGTACATCTTGAATTTTTTTTTGTTATAATCAATCATTATCATATTCAACTTTACAATATTTCTAAATAATAATATAATTTATAAAATATATATTTCATTACAAAATTATAGTATATTTGAATAATTTTCTAAATGCAAACTTTTTAAGATAAGGACAATATGTTTCAATTGCGGTAATTTTGTATCAATTGTGTGCCTAAGGAGGCTATTCCTAAGTTAACCAAATTTTAATCAATTTTCTCCGATCACTCAGATCTATTATTCCGCCCGCATCGGGAAAAGAGCGTACTTTACGAGGCAATGTCTCGTAGAATACCAAATAGTTGTCGGTTTCGATCTCCTGGGACGCTTTTACCCTCCAACAGTAATCTAGAAAGCTCTTGCTTGATTAAATTTTAGCATGACTCCCAAAATGTTCTTCATCTTTACTGGCAACAGGAACGTTGCATCGGCCACTGAACCACGATTTTATTGCAACAGCAACAAACTTCCCGACCTTCCAGACGATGAAGTCGTGCTCCGAAGTATTTCCACATGGGGCGGGGATGAAAAATGAGGATGGAGTTCGCAACACTTCTACCAACTTCTATCCAGCGCGAATACAACACACGTTTTATTGCGCAAAAGCAATTGTTTAATCCTCGCTTCGCCTTTTAAATCACTTTTTTTGCAGTCGGGAAGATCAGCCCGCAGAACTCGGCTCTCGGAACGAGTTTAATTTCGTCAGTAATTACAGTCATCAGCCCGGTGCAATTTCGCTAAACTTCTGGACGCGGAAGACTTCTTCAGCTGGTGGTGGTTTTCGACTCTCATTTTTTCGACGAATTCTGACTGATTTTACGACTCCTAAATCGCGGCCGAAAGTCGCTTCGCGGCCACAAAACGAAAGAAAAAGGACGACCCAAAATCAACTTTTACTAAACGTTTCATACGTTCAAACCGACGCATGCATCTTAAGCAGCGATGCAAAGCAAAGAGGGAGAGACTGGCAGGCGGAAAAAACGATTTTAGAGCCGTTACGTCATTCTTTTTGAGAGATTGACGTGCTCGTCTCGCCGTGTCGGATGGAGTAAAGAGCATGTTACCCTAGATTAGCATAACAAACGCATACTGGAGCACTTGAACCGTACAAAGTGCTTGAACGTCGAATAGCGGTGTATAACCAAGAGTGTACAAAACAACCATAGCCAGACATTGTCAAGCTCAATACATAACGCAACTGAACGTTGTAAAAGCATTACTTTCTTCGAAAAATTTAATTGTCAACTTTCACCCATTGGCAAAACTAAAAGCTTTGAGCACAATAATCTAACAAATTTATACTTAAAATAAATCAAGCATTTTTCAATTAGTTTTCAATAAATAGTAAATTTCATATGCATTGCTTTAAGTATCGACGACGTTTAAATAAGATATTTCGAACATTTCGTTCAAAATGAAACATCACTTGAAATATTTCCTAATTTTAATTTTATAAACATTTCTTCAATCTCACGCGATAAAACTATAAACTATATATTATTGTATATGTATACATATTACTATATAAATTGTTCGAAACATCACAATGTTTGAATTTACTAAAATTACATCGAATTCTTAATATGTTGAATATATTATTCATTTTGATAATTAATCAAAACTTCAAATAAACGCGATATAAATGGTCAATAATAAAGTAAATTGTATTAATTTGTATTAATAATATCTATAATAATGACCAAAATAAGGATTCGCAAAGAAATTCACGAAAAAGCAAAGGATAAGCGCGTGATTATCCAATCGACAACAAAAAATAACATATAAATAACATATAAAAAACAAAGGACGTTACTCACGTAAGCGATTCATAACACTGACATCATCCAGCAACGCAAAAAACACTTAAGCATAGGTTACAAGTATTATGGACTTAATTTTCGATAAGATTAACGGTCACATGAATTATACAGATATGGATGTGCAACAGATAAAGAACTTCACAAAAATAACTTATTCTTTCTTGGATACGTGCTAAATGCATTTAGACTCGGTTGCACCAACATTACTCGATTTTAAGCAAGATTTAAAACTCTATCTCGTATTAAAGCCGAAAGAGAGACAGAGACAGTTTAAGCTCGCTTGAAATCGAAATCACGTTAGTGCAATCGGGCCTTAGTGAAAATAAAAGTGTCAATTATTTTCTTCGATGTTTATAGAAATTTTAACATAATTCAAAAAATATAATTAAACTGGCCTGATATAATACAACATATGATTTATTAACAAAGTTCTTTTGGCATTGAAATAATTTATAAGTCTGTTTTTTTAATCTTGCACTGATACACACGTTAAAGTGAAATGCAAATATGTTTACAAAGTTTTTAATAAGATCGTTATGTAACTATACAATGATTAGAAAATAAAAAGACTCTAAACGATCAAGTTAAATCTTAAGTGCTGAAATAATTCTGTGTGAATTTATATACATTACTTATGGTATATGTAGCATATAAATTCACAGAACAATTTCCACACTTAAAATCTAGTTCCTTTAAGGCCTTTATTTTCTAATAAATATATGTTTGTTACACTTCAACTTATTGCATCGTGTGCATCAATTTAGAAAGTACAGAAATAAAAGAGAGACCTTGTGAATCCTGACTGACTTAATCACCAAAAAATTGCTTTTATGACGGGAACAACGTTATTCTACTTATTCCATTTGACGAAACATATGTTCACGCCCGGCAGCGATAATGAAAGCGGAACTAAAGCATCTAAAATCGGCGATCGACGAGGCGTGAGATCGAACATCGAGTCTACATGATCAAGGCACGATTAAGGAATAGGCAAGACCTATTCCTTAACCATTTCCTCATCGCGATGACGCACAAGGGGCATTTTCTCACGCTTGCAAATTATTGCTCGCTTGAGTATTATTCTTTTTTAAAAACACCAATCTTGATCTTCGTGAAAGATACGAACATTTCGATTAAAAATGGAGCTTTTTCAAGCAACGAAATTAATTATTGAAGAAAAGTTCAAAGATTTATGAAAATAAATTTCGTTATTTTTATCAAATGATAGGCTTCGTATTTCTATATAAAATTTCGAATCAAATCGCGGAAAGTGTAACGGAACAAATGGAGGAAGAATAACAATAGGTGTTTTAAGCAGATTTCAATCTATCAATAGTATGCGAACAGATGTGTGTAAAGCACGCAATAGAAATACTGATAATAGTTTGTGGCGAAAAATATAACATAATATGCAAGAGAATTAAAAAAAAAACATCGCTTAAGGCATTAACTATGAGAAAATACGATGATCAGCAAAAACGGAAAAAATATCTACTTCAAGAAAATGGATTATGCTAAAATAAATAAATATTTTTCACAAATAGCAAAGCTTTGAATGCACGAAACATGATTTTTTTTGGAAACTACTTGATTTCGCGGAAATTGTTATCACTCATTTGTGACAGGGGCAATGTGACAGGGGCAATGGTTAATTTCGCTCGATAACACACCTGTGTTATCGATCCATAGGAACAAGATAAGTACGAACTGATTTTATCAATACTTGTGCAATCTTTATGCAAAATATGTAAAAGATATATGTAAGAAAATTAATTCTATATTACACACACGCATAAAGGAATATGAGCATGTATGTTTCAATACATTTAATTATTGAACAGAAAGTATTACGAAGGTAGAAAAATGTGAAGAGATTCTATCTTTATCTCTAGACTAATATTAATTATCAATGATAAATTGGATGTAACATATTGATTGCCATCGTTTCGAATATTAGCCAAGTATTTTCAGTATCGTTTATACAGTAATTTTTCCATACGTGCAGGTATAATATAATCATTACAAAACTAATAATCCGTTATAAAGCCGACAGCATAATCAAAAATCATTGTGTAATTTGTTAAAATAATCTTAAAATCTGTTTTGTCTTCAAATCGAGTACTCGCAGATAATGCATAATCTTATCGTTACAAGATTGAACAAATAAGATCTAATTTCGTGTATAAAAGACAGCGACAAAAATTGTCAAGCATCAGTTGCCAGATCACAAGCAAAAGTACTACCGGCAATATACTTCAAAGGTAAGCATTAATAGATCAAGTTAAACATCATTTTAAATTTTAAATATTAAATTGCACATAAAAATAAGCATTAAGCAATATAATAAATCTTTTATTTCCTGCCTCTTTTAAAAATAAATAAAACTGTTATCAAAAATGTAGTTTTCAAACATAAACCAAAAGATGTAAATAAAAAATTTTAAGTAAATATATAATTATAATTTTATAAACATTTTTATTTTTCAAAATTATCGCAATTCGTCTTATCATCAAATATAGATTTATTTTATTAATTCAATTAACTATAACAATGTATTTTAAATAAATTAATATTAATTGCGATTTTTCTCGTATATAATGTGACTGATGATATACGATAAAAGTTGAATAATATTTATGATCTCTTTCTATAAAAAATTATACACAAAACCGAAATAATTAATTCAACTGATTTATCGATGCACTACAAATATCATATTAAGAATTTGCTTGTGTTAATATAATTTTTGCATAAATTTGGTATGTTTAAACATATATTATATATATATATATATAATATGTAAATATAATGTAATTTTCAAATCAATAATCTCAATAAAATTATTTATTTTTACAGATGAAATTCGCATTAGCACTGTTAGCCCTCGTGGCTACAGCCTCCGCCTATGAGATTCCCAATTTCGGCAGAGGTGAACTCCGTCATGATATCCAAGATTTCTTGGATCTCGTACCTGTTGAAAAAGTAATCGAAATCACTATTCAATACTACGTCGAAGATAAAGAATTCCAGGATATGGTCAAATACTTCGAATCTGAAGGATTTAAGCAGCTGGTCAAAGACGTAGAAGCTCTGCCTGAAATTAAAATTTTGATGGATTACATCCATAATGCCGGTATTGACATTTACAAGATAGTGAACAAAATAAACTCCGCTCTCAAGCTCCCCCCACTTACCCCGCCCTCCTACAGCATCGGCACATACATTACCGGTGGAATTAAGGGATTTATTCAAGACATTCTGGACGTTTTGCCACGACAACAGTTTAAGGATTTGTACGAGGAGAAACTGAAGACCTCTAAGGCATTCGCCGATTTCATCGCGCAATTGAAATCCGAAAATTTCCAGCACATTGTCAACAAACTTTACGTTCACCCTAAATTCCAAGAGCTCTTGACACACGCTAGAAATGCCGGCGTTGATCTCGTAAAACTCAAGGATTTGTTTGAGGTTCTCTGGGGCATTAAAGTTCCTGCTTACTAATTATCAGGTGACCATCAACGCTACAATGAAAAGTGATTTGTCTCTTGTCACAATTATGTCAATAATATTTTCAAAATTACCATCTCATAAACTTTAAAGATTATCCGGTTACATAATGTTATGTGCTTCACTTGTGCAGAGAGTAATATATCATATAAATAAAAATCCTTCTATTCCTTGTAATTTTTCTTGATTTACCGTATGATTGAAGAATGGCTCGGACATAATTCAAATAACTCGACCATTCATACCGCGCGATGTATTTTTTCACGTCACTCCAAATCGTTCTCGCCCGATCAAACCAAGCCAAGATAAGCGAGATTATGCTCAAGCAACCGACCTGCCAAACTCGTTTTCGCGTGATCACGACGGCGTAACGTCGTGAATGGAAGTAAGATTGGGACGAGTCCTTCTCTCCCTCTCTTGCGCAATTATCCACCTTTTGCTCTTGCCCAATATAATATTAGAAAAAAAATATCTTTCCTTTTTCAAAATAAAGATTACGTTTAAAAACAATAACTGTAATATATAACATATTTGTAGTGCAACGACAAATGTTACATTAAATGTTGACTAAATACTCACTAATTTGCACTTTATAAAATTTATTATATAGAAAATATATGCAAATATATTATTAAGTTTTTATCGATTATACAGTGCTGATCAAATCAATCGAATTAATCTATTTAAAATACATCAATTTAATTTAATTGATTATAAAATCAATATTACAGGCACCAAAAATTTATATTTATTTAATATTGTCAAAATAATTAAATACGTTAACATATTGATAAAAAAGCACATCTTTTACTACATATTTATTATTTAATTATAAAGATAACCATATATTGAAGGTAAATAATTATAAAGACCATATTAATTAGTAAGTAAAATGTGTAAATAAAAAACCGTAACCGCGCTAATAATGAATTAGTAATATATAACAATTTAACAATAATTAATCGTTAGTAATAGCAACTTTAATATTAATTTAAAGGCATATATCAAACAAAATTTGAAAATCGACACTGAGATTTACAAGAGATAAACATTACATAAAAAGGAAAAAAATTGCCGCTGCTCAGTCGGCAGTAGCTTTCTCGCTTCTGAAAATATTATAATACACGACCAATCTCGAGAATCTTACGTTTCATGGATAAATACCGGCAAATCTAAGTTTAAATATCTCAAAAGAATGCCACGGAACTGCCGATCTTCAAAGAAGGGACAAGAGGATGCTAGACAACGAGCGTGGCTTTTAATTAATGATGCCTGGAAGTATACATGTCGCGCGCGGGGCCGATTTACGAGCCGGCGTGCGCTGGCGTGTCGTGTGGCTAGAATTTATCGTAGCGCACCGGTCTTTCCCGCTAATATTTAACCGTGTTGAAAGAGGTTGGCGAGATGCCGCGGGAGGTATATGGAGGTATATATATTTCTGCAGATCGTGCCTGTGCTCGAACTGCAAGAACGACAATCGACTTTTTCGCACAACCGCTACTTTGCGATAGAAATGAATGATATTTATTGAGAGTGAATCTGAAGAATTTGCTTACAAAAATTTGTCAAAGTGAGAAAATAATTCCATATGGATAAAGACATATATAGAACTAATGCAGCAAAAAGGAATTTATTATTCGCGAATGCACTACGCACGGTATTTGTTTAAATCAGCATTTTTCAATTTGCACAGTACATTAAATACGATAAATTTCTCGAGATATACACCACTAAGGCAACATCCGAAAATAAAAAATAAAGTTCTAATATATTTATTTTTTATTTTAATGTTTTAATAACGATGATATCGTTTTGATTAAGTGAGAGTATAGTTTAGATAATTTTCACAATCTTTAAAACATTACTTACTTCATGTCTCGCTTTTTAACTTATTTCTAAATTTTATCTCTTGTTTTTATCTTCTCTACAATTTTTAAGGCACAGTTGGAGAACACTTGTGGTACACATCAGTTGGAAAATCCTATTAAAGTTGATTTAAATTAACGGTTGTATCAGTACTATTCATGCTATTTTGCATAAATATATTTTCCTTTCTACATATATCATCAGTGACATTTTAATCATGAAAGGGACGGAAATTGAAAAGTCGGGCTTATTTAACTCAACTTATCGGTGCAGCCGAGTCTTAAAGTTCTAATAATTCAATGACGATATTGTCTGTTCAGATTTAATAATTTATTTTATTTCTTTATAATTCTCGTTCGATGAAAACGATATGAGACATTGTGCATGAACGAATATTCTTGTTAGAAATGAATAAACAATGTAATACACGTTTTCTAAAGAAAATGTTTTGTATATGGTTCATATATCATTTATAACCTAATCCTTATAACACGTCGCGTCTTTATAAACTTACTTTTATTTTAAAATACAATTTTAAAAAAATAATATAATAAAAAACAAGAGTTTAAGTAATATTTACTTAATGCGTGTTTATTTAAGAGTACACCTGTCATATATTTTTGCTATTTTGGTTATTTAAGTTTGCTGTTATTACATGCATAATAAGTGTTAAACACTCGTTAATTCTTACCTAGACGTGAGAAACGCTTTTATAATCCCAGTAATAGCTCCGCGTACTCAACGTGGCACTTATAAGTGACAGAACTTATAAGCCTCGCATTGCTCGTAGCACTTAGGAATAAACTACATGCAAGCCGAGTCTCATTCACAACGTACAATTGACACTTGTCACGAGGATGCTAGTCACGAGGTCCAATCGCGAATAGTGTATATCGTGCACGTAGATGTAAATAATGCAGTCTCACACGCCAGATGATTTATAACTAGCACTGATAGAACGGCAACGAGAAAATAACACCAATCAGATAATCGGGGGAGACACCAACGTTTTTTCTTTTTTTTTTTTTTTTTAATTGATCGAAAAACTCGGTCAAAACGGAAGGAACTGACGATCACGTCGAATCTTCGCGATCTTGTTATCACGCGTTCCGATTCGACCTCGCTCAATATCCGGCGCGAAACAGGAAACGAGGCATTCCGACTGATCGAAGGCCGTGCGTCAAGCGATGAAACGGAGTGACAGCGCTCGTTTACAGCGAACTGACCTACGACAAAACAGTTTTGCCTTCGCTAACACGAACGAAATCGTCCTTCATTCACTATCCGTTGTGAATGAACCGTGCTCCGAAAACACCGACGCACTACCACGCGCTCGCTGTACCCTCGATATGCATAATTAAAATCCTTACGCGACTTACGTGCAAGCTGAATGAAAAAAGGGAATGTTCAGTTCTACGTTATTCCTCTCGTACGCTACATCGATCCCTCACGCACGATCGCGTGTCATACCGATGTAAAGCCCTTAAGATTATCCCTTTTGGGAAGCACCCCTTATTCAGCGCATAATTGCGATGGTCGCGAACGATGAGAGAAGCGTTTTTCCTCAGATCACCACACGCGTACACTATCTCTCATGAGTCCATCATTATCATCGCACTCGTAGCACTCTGAAAAATTGCGAAGACCGCGGGAATCTGCGCGACTGATATCGCCACGCGGTTGTCTCTCGCGTAGGAAAGGGCAGAGAAAGAGAAATGACAAAAATCCTTCGGCACAAAGACCGTCGACACGTGCGGCAAGAAGAGCAGCGCGCACTGAAAGACAGCAGCCGGATCGGATCGTACCGCGGCCACGACGGCAATGCCCCCGCATCGAAGGCTTAAGCGCCGCCGACGCGGTCGGAAACCCTGGCTGCGGCCCCCCACCATGAAGAACCACCGGCCGGCCGGCCCCCACCACCATCTCTTTCGGTGACATACACAACACCGGTTTCCCCGTGGCCTCGCATCGACGTGCACCCAGCCGACGATGCATCCGGGGTGCGCACACACAGCTTTCGCTCCGGATGGACCCAAAACTGAGACGAATTTTCATCTCGCCATGAATTTATCAAAAAAGATAACGTCCGTGGATCGATCAGAACTTTTCTCTTACAGAAACCACAACAAAATCAGGAAGCAATCACGATATGTACAGCTTTTTGAAATCTTTAGTACAAGTTTTACTTATATAATTTCTATTTAAAATTTTTCGTAAAGTTGTTTGTGTTATTTTAAAAATATGAAAAATTTTCTTAAAATATATAATTAACATTGTATGCATTTAGAAATCAATATGAAATTAGAAGAAATGTATTTTTCATCATTAGATAATAACATTAAGTATATTAATCAAAGTTAAAAATGTAGTTTATATTCGAAGATTAAAATTCATTAAAACATTTTTCATGTCGTAATTTAGTTATACAAAAAGTATTTTATATTAAATACCATGTGTACTGGTTAATATAAAATTAATGAGGAAGTTTTTTAATCCTTAAGCATTGTAGACTCTGCTAATTAAACAGTTAAAAAATTAATTATATTTAAAGTTCATTAAAAATTGTTTTCTTGTCGCGGTTTAGATACAAAAAATATTTTATATTAAATATTTTATATTAAATAACATTAAAATATTTCATGAAAGTTCGCTTAATGGAATGTTTTAATTGGAGCTGTTTCGTTTTTTTTCAAACTCGGACATTTGTAAATATACCTCTGTCTTAAAATATCAGACGCGAAATGATGGAAAGCATACAATGCTGCATATGGTAACAACGCATTAGTCGAAATTGGTTTCGTTATAAGTACATCGGAAGGATGATTTTGTTTCTGTTCCTTGCGCTTATTACCGAAGATACAATCTTGAAATATCGTACAGACAGAATAATCATCAGGGAGGTATCCAATATGGAAACAACATTATGAAACATATTTTTTATTACAAGCGAAATCCGTGTATTAACTTTTTCTTTTCCATGTGCGCGATTATCGGAGCAGACGTCTTTCATGAAATAAATATCGGAGGCGAAGTAATCGGAAGGTATTTTTCATCCTCGATATTTTTCGTCTTCTCGGGGTCTCAGAAAAGAGACAGCGTGAAAGCGATATCGATTGATAGCACTGTCAAAGAAAAACCTTCAATATGAATCTAATCGAACTGTCAGACTTATCTATTACAAACCATTATTGCTTTCGTTATAAGCGTAATAATGCATCGTTTCTGGAATTTATGCGAAAAGAAGATATTATATTGATTGAATACATTATCGAACATTGCCCTCTCCAATGCGAAGGAACTGGAAAGATGGCCCTCACAGAATTTTTGTGGTGAAATTCCAGTGGAGACGAAATATCAGAGAGGAAGCAGATAAAAGCGTGACACTCGATACCGGAATAATTATCAAACGATGGCAATATGCCGTATTTCTCTCCGTGTTTACTGATATTCTCTTCCGTATTGGCCACGACGTCCCTGCCATCCGCGAAGAAACTTGAAACTTTCCGCTTGAATAGAGGCAGCGCATTTATGCGCCGAGTATTAATCATTAAATAGCAATCAGTAATCGTTAATCTATATTTCAATCGACATTTTAGTGTTGACATAAACAGGATTTTTACAGTCAATTTTTTT